CAATCTTTTTTTAAGTCGCGCCGTTTAATTTTTTCTCTTAAGTCGCTCTGTCAGTCTTTTCTTATATCACCCCGCTCAAGTCTTTTCGTAAGCCGTGTTATCAGTCTTTCCTTAAGTCGCGCCGTCAGTCTTTTCTTAAGTCGCGCTGTTAATCTTTTCTTAAGTCGCGCCGTCAGTTTTTTCTTAAGTCGCACCGTCAGTCTTTTCTTAATTCGCGCCGTCGGTCTTTTCTTAAATCGCGCCGTCAATCTTTTTTTAAGTCGCGCCGTTTAATTTTTTCTTTTAAGTCGCGCTGTTAAGTCTTCAACCCAGCTTTCCCTTACAAGTTTGACCCCAACTTAGGCCAAAAAGTCTTTTCCTCTTATGGTTCTGATACAAGAAGTTTTACTTATAAAACAACTGACTATGGAGTCAGGAGGTTTAAAGCCTTCTGATAGCTCATCTGCGATTTGCAGAAACCCACTTATTATAATCACCTCAGACTTTCTACATCACAACAGTAAGTGCCGCTATTCTGCTCTGTCGGCTTATCGAACGTTATCAGCGACTGTTTCCTGTTGTGGTACATTGTGATAAGTTGTGATTTGGGCGACCCGTTCGCTCGGCCGAAGCGGAGGAAGCGCCACGTAACCAGAGCACGCGGGTTTCCGTCGTCGAATACACAGTGTAGTTTTGAAGGTCCCTGATTGGTCGGTTTGATTGTGATGACGTCAGAGGGTTCACTGGTCATACTCTGCTGGATGTGAACGTTAGTCGGAGGATCTGAAAAGATTCGAACACGATTAAAAGTCCACAAACTTTCCACTTCACTCATATTATCTTCGTGGGCTGTATTTGAAAATCGGATACAACGAAAAATTGTGAATAAAATTTAAAGTATTTTCGGTTATAACAGATGACTCTTTTTTTTCAACTACTTGAACGCATTGCTGATTTTTTTAAGTTGACCTTCAATTTGGTTGATCTCGATAAGTTCAAAAAAACATTTTTTAAGAGCTAAAACAAATCGATATTTTTTAAAGTTGACTTACAATTATCCTTTATTTAAATACACTTACACAACACTGAGACGTTGAAACTCGAACTTCCAGTGAGTTGTCTCGAATTGTGCAGCACATTAGTCGCTATACACGACCACTGACCCGACTCTTCTCGTGTGACCTTGGACAAATCCAGGGAAATTTTGGACATTATCGTCGCCCCTATTGGATCCCATTTGCCCCCGACCGAAGGCCACTCTTTCATGGAATCGTCAAGCCGCCAGTAGAGCCGACGAGGCGGTGGGTTCGATACTGTCTCGCATACGGCGAAAACCGACTCACCTTCGACTATTTCGGGTTTGTCGATTTTGACACGAACCAGAGGCTGGTCTGAAAAAAAGGTGACTGTGACAATATCAAGTTGTACAAGTATGTATTCAGGTACCAATATATACCAATAGAATCGTATTTTGGTACCAATATTCAGCCGACTATCACTTATACCTTCCTTTTGTAAATTTTGACTACTTGTAAGATAAATTTTGGGTGCGTATTCATAGGTTCCAAAATAAAAAAGCAGTCGCATAAGTTCCAAATCTTTTCAATAGGTCAAAAGACTAAATTAGCCGAGTCTCGGTTTAAGGTCGCCGGCGATAACCGGCTCTAAATTTCGTATAGAGTCCTACCCTTTGGTGGCAAGCTCGCAGCACGTTGGCGCGGCTGCGGCGGTCACTATTCTGCAGCTTGAGCTTATGCTGGTTGAACAGTAAGCAATCAATCCATAAATTCGTTGGCTCAAATTTCAACCAATCAGAATTCAAGAAGATAAATTTTGGAACTTATGCGACTGATTTTTCATTTTGGAACCTATGAATATTGGAACCTATGGGAATTCATCAAATTTTGCTTAGGTCACATCTAAAAATAATACGGATAGATATATTTTCGGCTTTTTCCACTAAAGTAGTCTAAGAATCAGGAACCATATTAAGAGTATTTAAGTGTATAATGACTTTTTCAAAACTGTTCAAAATTCGTTTTAAATGTGCACTTACATTGAACGTCGACACGAATCGGTGTCGCTTCTGTTGCATTCACTTCATTCTCCGCACGACACATGAACGGCTTCGTGTGATTACGTAACACTCTCATAGTGTGAGTCAGCTTATGGCCTCTTGATGACGTAATCGGAGTGTAAAATTGATGGCCCGTGTAGTAAAGGGAGATTGTCGGAGCTCGAACAGAAATTTTCATTAGAAAATTGTCATAAACCATCTATAGAGGGAGGGTCAATATACGATTTCTTTTTAGAGAATCGCCGTTATGACTCTGATTAAATTTTTTTCATGAACATTTAAAGTCATTTTCATTTATGATCAAACATGATCGTCCCGGAAAATGCTTTAATTGAACTTCAATACTGTTTGGAGCTACTATCACAGGCTATCGGGACAGGGTTCAGATTTTATTTGGGACTCCCTTGGAGATCATGGTTTCTGACTGATTATGATTGAGAATTT